GACAAGATACAGCAGCAGAAGATTCTTCAGTTACTGTAAGAGTTTTTATTYGGCTGTGCTTTTGGCTTTTCTCATSCAATTTTAAATATATTGTTCAAGGCATCAAAAGAGACTCATGTTTTGTTTCTAATAAGCATATGGAAACTACATGCACACAATAAATAAGSGARGGCTAGAGACTGTCCTTCAGCCCTGAGGCCAATAGGAATGTCCTGACCTACACAGCACARGGGTCTGGGTCCCTCACAAGTGCTGCTGCCATTGCCACATATTGTATTTTTGTGAGGGTTTTTCACTTCAAATTACCTAAACTACCATGAAGATTGTGTTGTAGGCCATAAAAGTGTTGTTTTCATAGGATGAAGCTGAGAATAGCACATGCCCCATCACCAGAGCCTGGGTACTCACCAGAAGGACTCCTGATCTGGGCCAGTAGGAACCCTTCCTATGTTGTTACCTTATTAAGGGACGTTACTGATGCCTTTTGAGTTACATTTAGGAAATAAAAGGAAATATTTTGTATTTAATTTTGGACATAAGATTAAGTAGAATTTTCTTTCTTTTCCATTACCGGAGTTCTTAAAAACACTTTTGATCTGTGCTTAGGAATGCAGAGGTAGTCTCCTTTTTGCTTTCACTTCTCTTAAGGCTAGTTTCAAGGTAAATAGGTAAAATAACAGTGTTGCCCTTGGCGAGTGGAGGGCAGTGGGATAACAGACTCTCCTGAAAACTTTAACACAGGCACAATGGCTATACTTAAACATGTTTCTCCAGGCTATTCCCAAGTTTGCACATGCCAGTTTAGAAGTCAGATACAAAGAGATCTGGAAAAAAAAAATGACATGTTAATGATGATTAATGACCAGTTAAGCCTTCTGGAAAAGCAGTATGGCTGTGTAAAACTTAAAGATCCCCAAGATCTCAAAAGAGGTAGGACACCTTAGCTACATTAAAGTTTGTCATAGCTCAGAAAAGTTCCTACTATGTGATACTTATATAGTAGGTTATATTCATTTACAATTTACTACTCATTTATTCATTTTAACTGGTTGCTCATTGCATTTTCTAATGATTTTATATGTTATGTTAGACATTTCTGTGCGAAGAAATACTCCCTCTATGTAACATTTTGATATTCCTTCAAACATGGAATCTCTTCTGACCAGCTGAATTTTGAACACAGGCTAAAACTGCAAAAGAGATGTATCTCCAAAGAGATAATATGGCTTGCTTAGATCACTGTTGAATAATAAGCTAAAAAGTTGTGGTTCATAAACCAAAGTCATAGCATAGGACAAGTATATGAAGAATTTGTATTTAAATGTCCCAGACAGACAACTTTTCTCAGCAAACTAAAGATGTGTTTAGCTGTGGACTGAGGGAGTGACTCACACTATCCGAATCTGGGAACATGTTGACATGACTAGAGAACTGTAGTATCTTCACTCTGAAGTGCACTGGGAAATGTTCTATCATCTCCCTGTTCCTTCATCCTTTCTTGTAGTGGCATCATGGCACGCTACTTTTGTGAAAGAAGCCACAAATTTATCACAATGTGTACAACATATTTGGGCCAGATATGACAAACAGTGAACTCCTTCCCCAACTAATGCTAGCATGTGACACTCAGTGCTTGCTTGTCTTGCCATCTGCACTGGAGGCTAAGAAAATCACAGTAAACTAACACCTGAAAAATCTACACTTCTTTTAACATTTTCCATAGAGAACCCCCTTCACAAGTTCATAGTAAAAATTTACACATCAATTGACACACATTTCATAGCTTGTGCTGTGAAAAAAAGGAAGCTGTTGCCAAGATTAAAATGAAATGTAAATGCAAAATACTATAACATTYCTTAAAAGGAGCAAGCTAGTTATTTCAAGGAACACTTTAATGTGCAGCTATAAAATTTAATATTCTGTCTGGACAATTTATRTATATATACATATATATATTTACAAGCTAAAAATATGCATTCTTCTGAACTATTTATGCAACTTTAATAGAGTAGAATTTTCACTCCTAAATGTGAGTTTAAAAAGATGCGATTTTAAAATCCTATTATTGCATCTTTCCAAATGCTCTAGGCATTAATGCCATTCTCTATTCAATTATTCTTTTAAATTAAAACAATTTTCAATATTCTCAGTGCTCTGATTTGCAAGCATGCTGCCAAAAATACCCTTAAGTCACAGATTAGGTTCTCTACTACCACAAACAACTGTGCTATATAATCTCTTTATATAAAGTGCCTAAACTCCATGTTAAAGAGATTTTTTTGGTCTGTTTGATTTTTGTTTACTTGATTACACATTACTCTCTGTAACACAATGAATGGCATTGCCTTTAAAGTTAGAAAACATTCTCCACTTTCCAATTCTTTCCTTGTTTACATCATTTCTTAGTTAAACATCTTGTTACTAGCATTCATTTCCACACTTTTGTTGTACTTTCAGGAAAAAAAGGTATTTTTTATCTTTTTTTTTTCCTCAGTTCCCAAGCTTCCTCTTGTAAATAGAAACTCTATTTCCAACAGCTACCAAGACTACCTTTTTTCAGCATCTGCTCTTTGTTCTTGAAAACTGATAACTGAAATTGTACAACTTGTTTCTAATAAGCTTTCTCAATTCGCTTTTGCCGGAGTATTAATTGTTTGCTCTCTCTGCTCTCAATTATTTTTCTACCTCATCCTCAGATTATATTTCCATTTTTCACAGCATAATGCACTGACGCCTCACAGCCACAATATGATTAACTGACATACACAGATTTTTATCATCTTCTGTCATTGCAGAAGATGTGCTGTTACTGAATCATAACACTCAAATTCCAATAGTGTGTGACATGGCCAAATGATCTGATTTTTGCATGTTAAGACACCACTATGGTCACCAATATGATTTGCATATGGTCATGAATTTTGATGATCAGGCCAGAAGATACTCAAGCTTGTTGTGCGTAAAGTATTCCTGATAAGAATTGTCAGGTCATAAGGATATGAGTTTTGCCAGATAGGACTGAATACGTGCACTGAATCTGGATGATCTTAGCATCCACAAATGCAAGTCAAAATGCAATTTGTTTCAATTCTTCTACTTCAAAAGGTCATGCTCTTTAAAACTTTTAGGAAGACTCCAAAACAAGTCCCTAATGCATGTACATTGCATAAACATGACCTTCTACTACAGGAAGGAAAAGCATTATTGGGCTTTTTAGCTTAGCTGGATATGAGTGATTGTGTCTCACTATCATTTCCATTCTATTACAGGTTGGCCTGCAATCAAATCAGATTTAATATATTGGTCCAGGTCTTAAGAATATCTGGATGCCAYCAAAAAGGATGCTTAAGGTATGGACCTCAATGCTTCTCATTGCCTAGGGTTGAGAAAAACTATTGATAAGTTTACCTACCMGGCATGATAGGACAATATCACAATGATAAAAATTCTCTCGACTCCTTGGAAAGAGTTAAGTGCAAGGTACTTTTCCATAGCCTAACATCATACACACACAGASATCATACATCATCTCAGAGGCATCATCTCCGCACACTTGCAAAAACAAAGAAACAAAATAATACAAACAAAAAAATCCCACAAAAAGAAAACAAGCAAATCTCAAAATTTCAAAAAACATTAATTYACCACATCAGAATTGTGCAAGAACATGAAAAAAAGTGAAATAGAAGTAACAGATCCAAAAATCCACTGGTTAATTTGCTACTAAAAGGCAAATATTGCATGAGGGAAAAATAAAAACCTACATTAGAATAGTACATCTATGGAATAAGCACATCCTTTTCAAAGGAATTTTTTTTTCTGTAATCATCAGAATACATCAAATATGAATTAAGCATCTACTTAGATACTTTACAGAAATGTACTTGACAAAGGGACTTTATAATTTCTTACTCTCATTCTTATCAATAAAAATGTAGCAGCATTTCACCAGCTAGGCCTCCCTCTGGTAAAATACTTCAAACTCTAGAGAACTCTTTAAACACTAGAGAAAGACTTCAAAATCCAGTCATACCGCACGTAATAGCAGATATCACCTTTTTATCACCAGGTATGCTTGCCTTGATTTTCCCAGTAAAATTTATAAGATGCTAGTGTAAGAGAGGGCAGACACATTGATGATTAAAAATAGAAATGATCTCAGGAGAAGGAGAAGCCCTGCATGTTYATATTTCACCAAAACATGACCTTTAATATCCAGTTATAATCAGCTAAGATATTTCAGTAATTTTGAAAAGAGGAAATACAAAATTAAAGAAAAAAAAAAAAACAGAAGAATTAGAAGTATTCAAGAAAAGTATTAAAGTATTCATATCAAGAAAACAGAGTTACATGAAATTTTTTCATAGGGATTGGTGAACACTGTAATGGAATTTTCTTCATTAACTTTCACTTAACAGTAACATGGTCCCCCCCATATACATTATAATGCAGAACCCACAACTATCTTTGTTGCCAATATGCAAGCCTATTTGCCTCTTTTACTTCATCTCTATTTAAGCAGAAAGAACTAACAAATACTCTAAGACAAAACTCTGTTTCTACTCTTGAAAGACCAAAGGATTTGCAATTGCTCAAATCAATTTATTTTCTGATTTTTTATTCCATTATTCTTGATGGATTTGCTGTAATGGATGGGGGAGATGGCAAGGCTCTTTACTTCCAGAAAAAAAGAAAGTAGGACAAGTCATTCAGTCATTGTTGCTCCTTCATACCACACTAATGGAGGAAGGACAYACACATGCAACAGCAAGGCACAACAGATCCAGCAGTAACAGATCTATCTTAGGAGAAGCAACTATCTTAGCTTTAGTTACCTTTTATTAAATCATTTGATCAAGTGATCCCCTAGAGCAATATCCCATAGGGAAAACCGTATTTTGGCAATGTTTGTAACATGGTCAATGTTATCATTCAAAAGCTAGTTCTGCAAAGAACACTATGCACATTTCAGCTCTTAAAAAATACTATCATGCATTTACCTGCCCCCATTATCAGCCCTGGTGCAGTATCCTTAGTATGGACTGTTCCTGACACGTATGGATTGTCTGCCCAGCGAAGATGGAGGTGAAGGTAGCAATCAGGCTTGTGGGGTAAGAAGACAGTTAAAAAAAATATATAAATTAATACTTATACTTGTATGAAAATGAAAGCACAAACAGAAAGTAGCTTCAGTGGCATGCATCTTTCTAGAGAATGTTTTTTTCCCCATGCAGCAGTTGGGTACTGTCCCTTTAGTCAGCTATGGTCCCAGAAAAAAGGTCTGCAAAACCAGAAGTTGGCATGAAATTACAGTATAAAAAGTCCTTCTGACAGCATAAGTGCTTAGAAAATCCAAGTGACAGCAACAGGTACTTTGCCCCCCCCCCCTTTTTTTTGTCCCAATTTACTAGCTAAAATGATTAAATGATGATAAACCTAATTACACTTGAATTTCTTTTCCAGAAAAGTCATATACAAAGTACTGTAATGASTTTTGGATGCATTTAATCATCTCTCCTTGCTAACCAACTTCCCGCTTCCTGCTCTTTCCAGTGTCACCTGAAAGTCATTATTGATCTGACTGCAATTTATAGCCATATGTCCATTAACTTCACAAGAATCAGGCTATCAGGAACTACCGGGAGCTGGTTTATTCCCAGTTAGCCTAAACTCTTCTAATAATTTCAGAGAGCTCTGGGTCAGGCCCTGCAGGCTTGAACCATGTACTCAAGTCTTGACCTCTTCAAAAGGAAGCCAACAGCACCCCCCTCCAGCCTTCCATTTCAGATATGAGGAGAGGGATAAAATCTCTGGCAGTGGCAGGAGTAAGGGAATTATTCTAGTAATGCAGAGCTCAGAGTCTACGGGAGCAGACAGCCCGTGAGAAAAATACAGCACTTTCAGTAAAGGCTCACAAATAAGAAAATATTATGGGCAGCTGGGACATATAAACAACGTGAAATAACATAATCTCACAGCAGCAAAAAATAGACTTTTTGATGGAATTAACAATGTGGTGTATATTCCCAAGCCACCGTCAAGAATTCCCTTTAACGGGGTTATCTTGGTTTAAGATGAACAAAAATATGAAAGATGGAAACAGAAAAGATATTTGTTAGCTATATTTGTCTGATGAAGTGCCTCATATCTAGATAGAAACGATTGTTACAATTATGGTGAAGGCTGGCATAGAAGAAAATATGTCCTCTTTGTGTTACATTAGGCTCTGAAATGGGGAATGTAGTGCTAAAGACAGTCACGACTACTCATTCTAAAGGAAGACTGGACTAACAGCTTGTGAAAACACTGTTCATGTCATGCAGCTAACCTTGTCTATCAGCCTAGCAGGTAAACGCAGCACAGAGCTCTCAGGCGGTCTAAACTACCGTGCATCCTAGAATACAAATAACTCTTGTGCGCTTTAGAAGAGGATAGGTTAAAAGATCGACTTACAGGCTTGCAGTTTGTTGGTTTGCCATTCATATCAATGTCTGGAGGGTTCAAAAAATCCCAGTCACGGCCTTTGTTGTAGGTTATTAGAGTTGTAACTTTCCCATCAATCTTCTGGTTGGCCAAAAAGACTCCCTTTACACCTCTGACCTAAAGCGTGAGGGACAGTTTGTGATTAGTCCATGGGCATGGTTTCAAAAGGATTATTCTCGATTAGCTCTTCTTTTGTGGCCCTGAACTGTGTACTTCAGGTAGTTCCCCACCAGGGAAATGAATTAGACTAGAAGAAAACAAAGGGAAAAGAAGGACAGGAAAAGTAGAAAAAAGGAAATGGAGAATGGTTACTATTTGTTATATCTAAGTGTATATAAAAGGAATCCTAAACTGTTCATGTATCATGTTGTTTATAACACTAAATGCAAAAGATCATGATAGCATTGCCTGTTGGTACACTACTGTTAAATTTTTCTAATAGATTTTTTGCATTTTTTTTAATATAGGAATCTTGAAAACGTTATACTGCAAATTACTTAAGTTTATGAGTTTATACACGTCAACACATTTACAGGTATGCCAGTCTACACAGAATCAGGCCGCTGTTTAGATGAGTGTTATTGCCAATGTTAATACACCTCCTATGTGTCAAGCCTAGCTTATGTGCTTGCTTCAGTATTTAAAGGTAAACAGAATTTCTCTACTTTTTTSTTTTCCAAACCTATAAGCAATACCAAATATATTTTTGTCATTAGCTATTCCAGTTTGATTGGCAGCTTTTAGTTTTGCTGTATGAAGTTCTTACTGCCTTTATTTTATTTATGTTTGCTTTCCCTATATCAGTAGGAGCTCTACAGATCACCATTTGTTATCTTTAATATACTTGTTAATTATAGATATTTGTTTAATACATTTTGTAGGGCTATAACTCATGTGATCCACATATAGATAGTACACACGTATTAAAACCATATAATTGAATATGGCATCTATTAAAATAATACTGAATTAGGAAGCAGGGTTGCCTTTCATAGTAAATGCACATAACTCATCTGGGGAAGAATGACTGAGGTCTGACTCATGCTCTCAGGCATTTAAAAAGCTTCCACACCGAGCCCCCCTCCACCTGCTTCACCTCCGAAAGAAAGGTCTCTTCTCTTGGGCATCTTTAGTTGTTTTCAAAATGATTCCTATAAGAAAACTGTTATAACTCAAGAGTGCCCAAGTTAATTTGGATCATTTTATAAGCRCCCTGGCAGCAAATGCACCTTAGTGCATTTATGTTCAGCACCTTAGTGCTAGTATGTTCAGCTCCAGCTCTAACATCATCCCTGACCTCAGCCTGCAATTCTTGTGTAAATATTTCTTACAGTGAACACAGTATTAAATATTTAAACAATAATTAGATCAGGGACTGCAACTGAAGCTTCCCTCTTCATTTGTGGGTGGCCTAATCACCTAGTGATGCATCATGAGTATTTGTATCCTCTCTCTCTCGCTCCTTCTCTCATTCTTGCCTAATGAATATTTAATCATGCCATATAATCATTCAATGAGAGTCAGGCTTAGAACACTCTCCATTCCCAGTCCCATTCCCATTTTAACCAAGCTCTAGGGCAACCTCTCATCTCCAGAATATGAGAGTTTAGAGTTTGAACACTATCAGGCACAGAAAGATCATGAATGTGTTTTTTTCTTTCAGTGTCCCAGGTAACTTCCCCACTGCTGCTTTCTCAGATGAAATCTGGCCAGTACTGTCTTTAGCAGTTATATTTTCAATGAAAGGCATAACTCCTGCTAGAAATTAGTTTGTAGGTACCTTTCTTTAAAGGAAGTTCAGAACTATCATGTGTGAAGTGGTGCACTTGCCTAATATAAGTCATAAAAATGATGTGTGAAAAAAAGAAACCTTTGAGTGGCATTTTATCCTGGTTAGTTAAACACCATAGTGTTCAGATGGGTCCACAAAAATACAACAAAAGAAGCCAACTATAGAATATTAGTATGTAATTAAGATTTAAATATATAAGATTTGTGATTTGAGAGGCATAAATAAGCATGAAAAATGAGTATTGTAACTCGTGCAGTTCTTACCCATATGCAGRGTCATATCAGGATCACATATAAAACTATTACACTGGTATGTTAATTTTGGAAATATATCAGTCAGATTTGTTTTTCGTTAATGTTGGCAGCACTTGATCCAGATTTTAACACTATGCTCCTGCTGGATAATCATTTAATACTCTGCCTTTCTTTTTCTTTCCTTCTTTAAGGCACACACTTGGGGAATTATTCCTCATTCACAAATGCAGTGACATCAGAAAAGAAATAGAGTGCAAAAGAGATAAAGCATATGAAAGTGAATGAATGCAGACAGAGGAAAACCTAAAAAACATAACAGATATATAACAGATGCATAAGCAAAAGATGAAAGGAGGTCAGCAAAAGATAATGAAAACCAACAGTGCAAATTTTAAACAGAACTATGTATTGGTTTGAAAGAGAAATTCTCAAATCCATTGAGGATTGTTGCTGTGTTGTGTTGAAGATTTATCTTCCAGATACGAGATACTTGCATTAAAATGTCCAGAGAGAAATCCCAGGCTAGACCAAAAAAAAAAAAAAAARAAAAAGAAAAAAGATCCCTAAGGACTGCTATATGTCTTACCTTTACTAGCTATTATTTATATTGTAAATAAATCATACATTACTTTTAGATATGAGTAGACAATCACATTCTATTCCGGAAGATGAACAATAATTATTTACCCTACAGGCTATCTGAAAGCTGTGGGCTTCTCAATATAAGCAAATAAAATCGTCCACTGACAATGTAAATCTATTTTAAAAAACAGCTTTGAAGAAATGGAATTGTGTCTCCATGCCTATTGTCTTTCAATAACTGTTTATCATCTGCACATTGTCTTTTTATTTCAGCACTACAAATTAATCCACATATCCTTATATACAATAATCTAGAATCTCTCCTCTATTACATTACCAAATCTGCCCTCAGTAAAACTGTGATATTCTTAAATCATTAATGAAACTGAATTAAGCATTTAACTCTGGAGATAAAAGAACAGCCAGGGGTCACACCTCTGTACAAGCTGTTTGAGAATAGATGCTCCAGGTGATGTAGGTAGAAAAAAAGACATGCAGCTGACTCCCTTTCAGCTCTGCATCCTGCAAGCGAGATGAGGAGCAAGGCAGCAAAATAATGATCTCTCTTCAACCACCCTGTGGGAATGTGATTACACATAACGCACTGCTTTGCGATTCAGAAGCCACCTCACTTCTAAACAGAGACAATCTAGAAAATGATCCGTGTCTACACRGGTAAGGACATACCTGTTTTACTCTGGCCTATTCAAAAAGCTGAAAAAAAATACACACAACACAAGGGGGACAAGAAAAACAGTCATCACTTTGCCCCACCAGTAAGGGTCTACTTAGAGCCACCAGTCAATAGGCACCTATAGGCATGACTTGTATTTAGAATTACCATGAACCTTTTCCAAACAAGTCTGTTAAACTAGAWTTTTTTTTAAATCAACAGCATATATATTGGAGCGTAAGGGTGACCAATTTGGGCCAGACCAAAGGTCTACACAGTTTAATGTCCTGATGATAATGGTCAGTTCCAGAAAGATGAAAAAAGCCACAGTGTACATTTTATCACATTTAAATGTCATCAGCAGTGGGAACAGAACTGGTGACACTTTGTGTCATTCTCCCAAAATGCTCTCTTTTTAGAGTCTTATTTTGACAAATGCGCTAAGTTTACAATCCACGACAGAATTGATTAAAAGAGAATTTGTCTCTTACCAAATACTGGTGGCACAAAACACCTACTGAAAGCAAGCAGACTTGCTGTCTAATGAGAATCTWCTTTTGCTTGTTTTTCACTTGTCAAAGCTGACGCACAGAACCCAGCACGAGGCTCACAGGATCTCTATTTAAGCGCCTACTGGCTAAAAATGTCCTAGTCTAAGTCACCAAATGCATCCGTGAGTCACCTACAAGCGAGGAGCTGAACATAGCAGTTGCACAACTTCTTACTTCATCAATAACACACTGTGCTGCCAGCTTCACTTCTCAATATTTCAAAAAAAAAGAAGAAGGAGGAAAGAAGGAAAGAAGGAAAGAAGGAGAAAAGAAGGAAAGGAGGAGGAAAGAAGAAAAGAAGGAAAGGTGGAGGAAAGGAGGAGGAAAGGAGGAGGAAAGGAGGAGGAAAGGAGGAGGAAAGGAGGAGAAAAGGAGGAGGAAAGGAGGAGGAAAGGAGGAGGAAAGGAGGAAAGAATACATCCACCACAATCAACTCTGTCTTTGCAAGAAGTCCTATGCCACCAACTCAGTTCTCAAAACACACTGTGTATTAGGATGGAAAGAAAGAAAATTATAAATAGCAATGAACATTATAAAGAAGAAAAACAGCCTTCTCTTTTTATATTAAAGATAGTATTAAAGAAAATTACTAACATAAAATTAGTTATCATGAAACTCCACATATCACACCTTGGAAGAGATAAAAAGGGAAGCAAGAGGGCTTCTGAACAGCATCCTACCTCTAGAATATCTATCAGGACATTCTCTTCCGGTTGTTTTGTGCTCCGGACATTCTCTAGTAGGATGGAGTAGTAAACACCTTGTGGGTCAGACTGGTACAGGTTGTATGTGTCTGTCTGGTACCACTCCTGAACAGCCACAAATACCTGATTTTCATCCGTACTGATTATCTGTAAATCCTGTAGAAAAAGACAAAATACAAAATAATTCATTTTCCTATCACCTCTATTTTTGCAAGCAATAATCTGACTAGGAGAACCAGGTAAAAAAATATCTAATTGAAAGTTCACCTACAGTAATCTCTCAATTAAGAAACACAATGTATCCTAGCACTCCAAACTGGCTAGTCACTGCCTTCCACGACAGTTACCACAGGGAATGCAACCCTAGTTAATGAAGACCAAAAATCATGAAGCGTGTGAAGATTGTGATGCACTCTGGCATTTTGGGGAGTAAATAAACAACATTTACAGTTACTGACAATTATTTTGCCATTCTCACTTCTCCCTTTTTGTTTTTATCATTTGTTTTGCAAAGCTTACAAATAGCAATCTGTATCAGAAATAAACCATCATTCCCAAATGCGATCTCTGAGGTCAGCCCAATAATTTTCTCCTTGCCGTGTTTCATTCATTTTAGGTTGCAAGCATTACTTACACAGATTTCTGTACGGTCATCACTAAAATTCTACAGAGCTAGGCTGTATTTTTCAACCCAGGTATAGGCCTGGAGTGCAGCCACTGAAGTCTGTGAAGTGCTCTAAAATTCACAGTGCAAACAGATCCATAAAGTTTTCTGTCTATGGCATATAAGAGGAGACACAAACACCTTCAAATACATAATCAGTTACCTCAAGGCAAAGAAAATACTCTATCTTCTATTTCTCCTGAGAGTTTAATACTGTGTGTGAATTTAATGGGATTTAGGTCAGCTATCAAAAAATCCTTTGGTAGTAGGACTTGGTCATAAACACTGAAGATAAATTGTTTTGGGAGGTAATCTCCATCCTTGGGAGATGATAACAGTATATTTGACAAATATCTGTCAAGACTGGTTTAAGGCAGATGACCGTGCTTTGGAAAAGGACCTATCAAGATCCATTCTATGGCTACGGTCTATGATCCTGTGAAAATGGGGGAAAAAGTGCTAATAAAGTTTTCTTGAAATTTTGCAGAAACATATGGGAATGTCACCAAAATAACAGTATTTATTTTTTAATGCAAGAGCTGTAACTCTGTAACTTCTTATTACAAAAAGTATAAAATTTCCAGAAAAATATAAATTTCAGCTTAATCACAGAATTAGCAGCAACTAGAACTGAGATTTTGAATCAAAACTCCTTCTATACAAAATGCTAGACAAATCCTGCAAGTTATCAAAGACTAAGAAACTGAAATGATTAAGCACCGTATCTAATGACAGGTCATATCGCTCCTGTTCTCTCAGTGACTTCTAAGCTGGTTTGTACCTCACATCAGTAGCAGAGAACAAAATTCAAATAAACAGTAAGACAGCTTCAAAGCAATGCTGGAAATATTTGGGCATGTTCACAGGGCAGAATCCTGTCAAAAGACAGGAATTACCTTAAGGTGATACACATTACACAGACCTGGTCTATTAAACACAATAAACGAGTCTGGAGGGTGTGTGTATTATGTTGAAAGAATTGTGCCTTCTCAGCCACGAAATGGAGAGCCAGCATCCAAGAAACTCTTCCTGCATGCAGAGAATAAGGATCCGATCTTTCTAAGAGTATCCACACTACTCCAGAATTACTTGAGGTCTTTCAGCAGGGAAGTACCAACATGATCACCCCAACCTTTTCCCAAAGTTGTGTGCTTTTAATGAAGGTAAATTCATTTTCACACAAGTTTGAAGGAACACCAGATCAAAAGATCAAAATGTCTCAATAAGTCCTAAGGCATAAATAGTCGAGAGAGTTTTCATTTTTGGAGGTGAGTGCTGCAGGAAGGAAAGAAAGAACAACTATGTTGTTTCCACTGTTTACCACCCCATATCACCTATACAAAGTAACTCAGTGCCTATAAACATTTTAATACCATTTTATAGCCAAGAAACACTCAGCCTGATTTATGAGATTACTAACTGTGATAAGAAACCTTGTGACACAAATATAGGATTACATTCAGAAGACATAGGATATGGCACTTGCCAAGGATCACACAGCAAGCCAATGACCCCTTCCTCAGGCAAAATGCTGATGGGCTAGAAAACACCATCAAATGAAAAAACTGTAAGCAGGATTCAGAAAAGTCTGTGTAATGCTACAGGCAGAACCGTGGTGCTTTATCCAACATGACAAATATAACAGAACTTCAAACTCCTGTTTTTCAAATCTTACGGTTTAAAGCCAATGACATACTTTTTTCCTGCTTTCAATCTTTTAATGCTTAGGTTGGGCAATGTATTAACCTGAAGCAAGTGATAAATTAAACAGAGAACTACCAGAAGTAAATGTATTGCATGTACAACATGTGTAAGCACTCAGAACTGTGTAATAGCAGCCTTGACCTCTAGATGCACCACATTTACTCCCCTATAATCTCTTAAGCACAATCAAGGTAACTGAATGGCATATATCCCAAAGATAATCTCCCTAATCTTCCTTTCCTGGTGGAGTAAAATGGTGCAAGGGGAAGAAATCAATAACAGGTTACATTGTGAAGAAAAGAACATCTCCTTGAGCCCACCTCAATAGATTTGTAAGGCTGGGGAGCCGTTCAGACAGACAACTACTACATGGGCTCACTTGCTATTTCTGGGACGTTTCCCAGGGAAGGAGTTTTACTGCATCATATACATTTCTACTTAAATTTCTGTCTTATTTCTCTTTATCTGTTTTTTTCCAGCAGCCACTCCAATGGCCGAAGGATGGAGTAGTGGACCTGCTCCACCTGCAAACTGCTCTTCTGCCTGACATAGACTAAAAGTCAGCTTAAGCATCCATCAGGMGATGGGTGGCTGGGGTGGTTTCTCTGTCCTTACGGAGAAACAACCAGGAGATCTAAAAGCCTAGTGAAATGAACTTCTACATTCCCACTAACTATTAACCAAAATATTACACAGTCAGGGCTTATTTGGTCTGCTGAGAGAAAGGCCACATGGATGTTTCCTCTCACTTCTCCTGTTAATGAACGGACCCATTTAAGGAATTCTAGAAAAAGTTACAGTCAGTGGAAGCTTGACAGAGAGGAAAATATATGCCTCAAAAGACTGATGAATATTTAGGGAAAAGGAGTGAAAGTGATTAAAAAAAAAATTGTTTCATAGCCAAACTGAATGTTGCACGCAAGATGTGGAGGTAAACTTGCCGTCAAAAAAGTGACGTATGTCAGARAGCTGGCAAAGACGACCTGGGCCTATTTTAGAGCCCCTCAGAGGAGTAAGTCTCACCTGCAAAAGCTGACTGCACATGATGGTACTTTGCAAAGACAAAAATGTTGGTTTGTGACAACAGTTTTACAGCAAGCAACACAGAGGAGTTYTACTTTATGTTTTGAACTAGTTTTTAGTTTCAGGAATACCAGTTTAAGCTTCTGTTGACAGAGGAGTACTAGGTAGTACTCATAAAAAGAATATATACAGGAGGTAAAAAATGAGATGCATATTACCACTAAGAYATTAAATAAACTCAGTTATTTCTAAGGCAATAGTATTCTTTTGTCTTTTCATTTGGCCCCTGTATTCTCTTCTACCTAAGTTATCTGAAAAATTCTATATCATTGCCTGTTTCACAAGATAGAAAAGATACAGAGATCACAATAGATAAAAAAAAAAAAAAAAAAGGCTTTTCCCACAGCATGTTTTCAGAGTTAAATATTTTACTTTCTGAATTGCAGTAGGATGTAGCTGCTGAAGCAGCTCTTTATTAAACTTTTGTAGCTGGCATGAACCAGTGAATGCCTTGATTCAATCCACAAAAGCAGATCATTATCAATTGAAATGTATCAGTTGATTTATCAGAGTTGAGACAGGAACTCAGAATAATTATTTCTTCAGAGTTATGACAGTAAAATTAATATAACTTCTAGATCATTTTTGGTTTGGTGAAAATCTTTTGTTAACATGTTGTTAGCAGTACTTGGTGCTCGAATTATCAGAATTGACTTGYTCCCAGTTTTACACTTAATCACTTTATGGTAAGACTTAGAACCCTAATAAATGGCAGAACCTTCTCAAACCCATACCTCTCTGAGAAGTGAATCAGAGCTACAAGGAACAAGCCTGCAGTATGAATGTGATAACCCTCCYAACGAGGCTACATGTCACAGCCCCCAGCAGAACTGTTCCTCACAAGAGCTGCTGCTGCCAAAATCCCTGCTCTGCATTGAAAATTACTAATCCCACATCTCTGGATCCCCCTGGAAGACACTTGTGTTGAYTAGTCAGCCATCTCACGACACATATGTAACCCTTTTGCTTTTGATTTTAAGCTGGATTTGATATTCACTTCCTAGAATTTATTCACCTCAGTTCTAGCTTTAGCATCAGCGAACAAGCAATTTCAGTAAAACTTTACATAGGCTCAGTATAATAGTCAACCTAGCTTAAAAGAATAGCTCTACATTTCCTGTACTGTTTTGGGGAGCTTTCTGGCAACCTTTAACACTGATGCTACCAACTTCTGTTACTGTTTTGACTGGTAGCAGTAAACACATGAGTTCTGCAATTCAAAGGACTGTCAATACCAAAATGCTAGAAAAAATCTCTAAACAGCAGAATAAACATCCCCCAAAAAATAGACTACCAATCATTAGATGGCCCTCATTGGCTCTGKTTTTTTTTTYYTTKKTTTTTTTYYTTTTTTTTTTTYCCCCAAATAAATGCATATCTTCAGTGTGTTACAAAAAGGTGATCTAAGGGAACTGCAAAGTTGGAGCCTAAAAGACATAATGAATAAAATGACACATAATAGTAGTAAAATTTGCCTCGAAATTGCTTTTAGCTACACTGACAACTTTTCATTTATAAGCAAGAAGGTCCTGAAATATTCTCCAAATACATACTAACATATACTTCTCCAGGATTTTGCTTCAGAGTATATTTGAACAAATTCAAGTGAAAACCTAAATACAAATGTTACTAAAAAGAATTGATTTTGAGGGCAGAGTKTCAGCTTCTGTATGTTTGAAGAAAAACATCAAACAACTTCTTTAATTACTCAGGTTTAAAATGCTCATTCTATGTTCATGAATAAAATCAGAGTGAAACACAGCTGCACTGAGAAAGATTAATACCTGAAGTGCCCACCATTATTTCCTTAGGCTTGGACTTGATGATCCAGCTTACTGCTCCTCATGTTATTAGACAAGTCCATGATCAGCCTGTGGCATTTTCTGGCTTGTCCACAGTTTTCCATTGCCTGTACTTGCCAGAATCACTATTCCGGACCATGACGTGCAGCGTTTTGCAGAGACCATTTGGAAAGAGATTTTTTGAGGCCTCATTCAATTTGATTGAGAAAAGAAATAAAAACCACTTTAGACCCGCTTAATATCCCGATTAGGCAGAACTGACTACATATACAAACTCAAACTCAGTTATTTCAAACAAACTTTAAAGCTTTAAAATAATTTCTTGTAAATTCTTTCATTCTGTTTATCTCCTTACACCACACAAGTAGCAACTGGATGTCATGGGTCCTCAAAGCACTGTTGATTTGCTGGTGCCAATATCCCACTTTTTTGCAAAATTTTCTCAGTATTTTCCTCATATTAATCTTTCCCTTCAGCTCAAACTAGATTGGAATATGCATTTCTACTGCACTCTGATGATTCTCATTAAAATATGGTGGGATCAAAGAATTTCAGAGTTGTGTTCTCATTTATTTCATATTCACTATCTGCAATACAATGTAAAAGGTAGTAAAACACTTTTAAAAATATATCTTTCACAGAAGAGGTTAAAATCTCTCACATTCACTACTGTTCTAGTGGATGTCTGGCTTCCAGGCCCTCTTGGTGAATTTTTCAGCTCTGTTGTGTGCAGATACCAAAGAAACTTTTCTTGGAGGCATCATCAAAATGCTAAAGAGATGCAGTTTATTTCGTTCCACTTACTGGGTAGTGCCTGAACTAGGATCAACACAAAAACATTGTTTTCCAAACGACACAGTCATCCTGTTTCTGGCTTTCTATTGACTCTATCCAAAATGAAACCATTAACTTCTAATTTATTTATTCAGTCAAGCCTGGAGCTAATCTGCTTTAGCAGGGAAAAAAAACAAATAAACAAAAAAACATATTTTCCAAGACAAAGAATTTAGCATGCAGTACTATTTCAAATAATCTAGACTAGACAAATACAAGTGAGTTATGCCAGACATTTTTTGAGTATGTCAGAAATGGTTATTAATATGCACTCAGCGAGATCATCTACCCAATAACTGAGCACAATTTGTGGATTAATGGATTTTAAGGCTAGAAGATTAGTAGATCTCTTATTTTGCTCTCTGGTATCTTTCCAACCACTGAAATCCTAACAATTATTTCCGCATACTTTTAAGATGAAGGAGGAGCAAATAATGTATATGTATGTATGGTTATAGCAAATCTTCCAGAAAAGCAGTCAGTTATGATTTGTAAGCTCCAAAAGTAGAGTATCCATCACTTTCACTGGCACTTTTTCAAATGCTTAATCACCAAGAAGTTATGCTGAGTTCCTAATTTGAATGTGTCTGGATTCAGCTTCCAGCTCATGGGTCTGTCTGTCTTTACTAGAATTTTTAAGCAATAGCTTAATAGAGTTTTCTCTCCATGGGGAGGCTTCTTCACTGCAATCAGGTTGCCTCCCAATTTTCCTTTTAAAAAGCGAAGTTGTTATTTTTTTTCCAGAAATATTTTCCACTTAGATTGCTGCACTGGTTTTGTTTTAACATAGTCCTGCAAAGATAAGATAGGTTACAGGAGATGGCAATAGAGTGGTGGAAATAAACTGATGGTAGCAATTTTCTTAAATTTGTTTTGCTGCCAAGAAAAGCTACRTGTGATACATCTCCCAGTTCCTTACTATGCACCTTGTCTCCAGCTCTGAACTGCTGTTCTTCACAGCTGAGGCAAGTTTGGGTGTTTTAAACACAGATGCCTACAAGAAGTGGACAATATTCTTATACAAACCTGAGCTCTGAAAGTCTCCATCCATTTACTGTAATATGTCAGAGAGCTACATCTTTACCCAAATAACTTGTCTTTTACTAGTACAGTGCCAGTGTAATATTGATATTAAAGTGATCTGTGCCATTAAGGAAGTTGCATGCATCCAATTTCCTATAAATAATTTACTCTGCCCAGGCCAACGTTGCCCAGGCCAAATGTGGCAGATCGAGGAGAATGAGATTGAAATTGCAACAGAAAAGTGTGGATTCCTGCACACCCCACATGGAAGTGAACGAAGAAATGTCCCGTTCTCTCATGGCTTCTCCCTTCCCTCTGCCCAAGGACAAGCAGTGCCACATACGCTCACATTTGTGTYGAACTTTTGGTGCATGGAACCATTTCCTGCCATTCTGGACCCATCAAGAGACAGTCTTGAGTGACTCATGGCCTCCTTCCACCCAGAGTCCCATCAGCTCCTGCCCTCACACCCTGCTGTTCAGGCCCCAAACAAACCCCAGCTCCCTAATACATCCTTTATCCCTGTGAAATTGATTATTAAACCCCTATATATCAGTATACATCTCTGTTATTTTCACGTTTTAAACTGTATAATCTCCTGTGGTTCTCCTAGTTACAGATTCCCTCAAGAGACCATAAGGGCTGCTTTGAAGGGCTTAAAATTCTTGAAGTAATTACGTGGTTGGGTTGATACATTTGCTTGCCCTTGGTTAAACATTTCTTGGCAAAACAAACAAATAAATAAATATAGAGCTATTCGCATAATGCTGCTGGGAGCACACAGATATTTCAGATTCTTGTTCAAATAGTATCCAAATATTTAATTTCAGTGTTGTTTTTTTTTTAAAACATGTCCGATATACTTAAAACTAGATCTCAGACTGCCACGTAGACCAAAAAAATAACAAAGGTGAAGGAAAAAATAAACATTAAACCCATTCCTTGCTTTGTAATAATAACAAGAAAACAAGGATGTCCTCAACTGCCCTTCATTAGTAAAACACAGACTTAAACAACATGCAGAAAACCAAAAGTTCTCAGTTACTCCTGTTATTCAGCAAGTAACAGCAGATGGTGGCAGGGAGGTTGCAGGGGACCTCAGGAGGTGGCCTATGTTTGGGGCAGGGTGGCACCTTACCGTGTAAAATTGTGATCTCAGAGCAATGAGGTTTTAAAAAGGCAAAGAACAAACCCAACTGACGTAAGAGGTTGACTAATAAAAGCAGAAGCACATTGKGCACACTTACTTTTGGCAATGCGTATTTTGGTAACTTCATCTGCACGAAGCCATTTCGACGGTAAGACACGTAATACCTGGTCCGGTTTGCTGATGTTGTCTATAGAAAGAAAAAATGGAATCCTGTGAGAGCTTATGTCACATCTAAAGAGTCTGCTATGGCAGATATTTTAAGATATTTTATTTTTTTACCTGTAAACTAATTACAGAGATATGACTTTTACCAGCAGCAAATACCAGGCATTTCCAGAGTAAGTGATATCCAACAGCACTACTCAAAACCAAAAGTCAGTGTAAGATTTATGTACAACATTATGAATCACTGTTGGGCTAATTTTTTCTTCACAGAATGAAACATTTCCCAGTGAAAGTCCTTGACATATAGCATGGAAGATGATGATGCAATTCTAAAGCCATTAGTCAAACAGTTAGTCTGAAAATCAATTAAATGTCCTGAATTTCATGCTGTTCATGAATTTCATAGATGGTTAAAACACATATTTCAGCTGCTTTCTTGTGTGTAACTGAAGATAAAATTAGGTCTTAGGTAAAACACCTGGAGTTCTCTGAAAGTTTTCACCCAAAGAAAGCCATATAGAAATATGCATTAAAGGAAGAGTAGTGTAGACATTATCCATTAGCATTTTTCTCAAGTTCTCTAATCAAAAAAAATCAATGTAAATACTGTTCCAAAGTCTCAAGACTCCAAAAAAAAAGACTGATGAAAATGCTCATGCAATGGCGTCTCTAGGTTTTTCCCGTCACAGAGAAAATGCCAAAATCTGTTCTGGTATTACTCAGCTCATCTTCAAATAGGCCTCCTGAATACCAAAAAATAAGATTAGCAATGGTTTCAGTCTTTAATAAATACTATTTCATATTTCTTTCAAACTTTTTTTGTCAGGCAGATCAGCTGGATATCAGCTTTTTATCCATTTTCTCTTGGTTGATAAAAGGTCTCTGCTTTACAAGAATGTTCTGATCAAAAAAGAAAATGGAAAAATAAAATGCATAGAATTYTTCTCTGGTTGTTACCATGATAAATCAGTTTGTGAAACAGAAGCATAAACAGATTAATCCCCTTACTTTCACTTTGAAAATATATTTTGACTCCTATTTCCTATCTCATTGTTTAAATAAAAAGGCTTAGACTTTATTAATTACAACTGAATGACCTGAATAATTACTCAGAGTTTCTTTTCTGTCTTTTCTCAAAGCTTATTCTGGTTGAACAGGAAAAAATAAAATGACCCATCTGACAATGACAATGACATAGTGACAAGAAAAAATATTTTTATAGCAGTTTTTCACTTCCTTTACAAATATGGACCTTGTCTATTTCTAGCAGTCAAACAAAATTTTACAAGAACTGAAGGAATTCTTTGATACAATATAACTCAGTTTAAGAAGCTGCCACAAATCCTTCTATATTAATTTTTTTCTACTTCAACTTCACATATAGGTCACATCAGAGCAAAGGAAGTAGGCAAACACAGCAGACTGGTGGTAGCATCAACAGAAAGGTAGTAACTCAATGTCATTTATAAAAGAAAGACTAAAAAGAAAAATGAATCTCATTCAGGGAAGACACGTCAAACACAGATTCCTTGTGGTTTCCATCCTACCAAAAAGAAATATAAAATCAAAGTTTTGCAGTTAATTGCTAGGTAAAACTCCTGGTTAAAACATATTTTATTTGCACAATAAACAATATTTGATGGTAGGCTATCACACACTTGCAGTATGTGCTATAAAAAAAGGAACCTGATTTGAGAAACAGCCTATGCTGAAGCATTCAAACTTGACTATGCTTGGTAAAAATAGAGTTGATACATGACAGCCTGAATATTTTAAAGATGCCAAAGTATTTAACACTAATCATTTTCATTCCTCCTTTAAACCAATCTCCTTTTGTGTAGCAGAGAAAATGCGATGCCCTTTTGCAATGTGATTTGTTAAATGATAGATTGAAGCTGAAAGCTCACTATTTATTTAATTGATGTTAAATATCAGTCTTATCCATCTTACCATAGCCTTCATGTTCATTATGCACTTATTTTATGTCACTCATTTCAAATGACTAAAGATGATTCAAGGCAGCAGAGAATCAGAGTTGAAGCCTTGCCCAGCCTCATCAACGTTAAAGGCTGGTCTGTGCTTAAAACAACGTCAAAACTTTAATCCTTCTCCTAAAATGGCCTCTGAAAAAGCCTGTCCTGCATCGCACCTCAGGGCTGGCTGCACTTCAGCAACAACTAAAGGATTCCAGAGCCCTCTTCTATCCTCTGCTAATACAGACACGGCCAACTATAAACCCATTTAGCAACAAATGAGATTTCTATTAAATTACTGTGATTTATTGCAGCTATGTCTGAAAGTAAAAGACTAAAGATGTTTCCGCTTTATGTAGAATATGTGCACATCTCCTCTATTAACATGTCTCAAATCTCCAGAGACCAAGCAACATTATCAATGGCGYAGTTTTGCTAGCAGAGGTCATCCATCACTTTATGTGCGTGTTTCCACGTTGCACTGCCATTTTGCATCTGCTAAAGTCTGGCATTGGACAGAATAACAACTCCTGATGCAATTRTACAAGATGTCCAGCAAAACACAGATGCGTGAAGAGGAAGCAACCTGTGTTTTGCTGAGCCCAGCAGTCTGGAAGGTGACGTGGTGAGCAGCAGTTCTCACCATCTACTAACGGTGAAATGGATTTCAAAATGTGCCTGGTGGGAGCTMCAGATAATGTCACCTTTCAGCAAAATAGCTGCCAAGCAGTCTAGACCTCAGCTGAGAATGCCTACTTTATTCAAAAATACTTTTCCAAATCCATTTTGCTGTTTCTTTGTGCTCCTGACTGTTCCAGGCCACATGGGGCTTTGAAACTGCTGCACTCAACAAGCGGAGGACAAATGCTTTGTACCAATTTGTACCAATTTACAAAACCTTTTGGAAGAAACAGCCACAAGGTGGAAAAGCTAAAAATAATMATAATTTTTTAAAAAGCCAATCTAATCCTCCAAGGCAGTCATGTAGAGAGTTCACAACTCCCTTTCCTGCAAGGGTCAGCAAATAGACAAGCCTTACAACAATCAAGCCTTATCAAAGTAAGTGAAAAATAATAGGCAATCACTGAGAAAAGGAACTTCCCTAGGAAAATCTTAAAACCAGATAGACATAATCTTTCTCTGAGAATTCTGCAGCTCTCAGATTCAAACTTCTTCCATCTATATAAAAACAAATTTTCAGTTGTGACCAAGATGTACTTGGTGCCATAAGGCTGCCAGAGYTACAATCCCTGTTTTTGCACTCAGGTCTTGCAGCTTGGAAATGAAATAGCACCAATGTAATCTGGATTAGCTCAAGCTGCTCTAAACTCCCTAGCTATGGTGATTCCACCTTTTCGCCTACTGAGACAGTTGTGTAATTCTTTCCATAACAAAGCCTCTTCATAGAGTTAGTTAAAAGAAGGAGCTGAGACACCAGTCTGTCTGTGGATTTTCTAGGATACTGTTTTCAGGGACCTTTTTCC